GTAAAAGCCAGAGGGTCTTTCTTTTCTCTTTCACGACTCAGTCTGAGGAGAGCATGCACCGTGTGTGCTGTCTGGGATTTTACACATGCATGTTCATCTTCGTGTGAGTGTGTGTTTGGTCTTCCGACTCACCAGTTTGCACAAGTCACACTCAAAAAGCAGCCAGTGTAACCATCTGCACAAAGTGGGAATGACAGGATGGGGAAAGGGTGAGTCAAAAAGTCACGAGGGTCCAGCTTCGTCTCCACCGAGCGGCTTTGCTGTTTTTGTCTGCAGGAAAGGGACCGTGGTGAAGAAACACAGAAAGATCATGGAGGGAGCAGTCTGAGGTTCTGCCTCTTCTTCTCTGCTTTAGAGATTTAGAGATCGCATCAGGAAAAAGAACAAGTCAGAGGTGTTTTGGTGCCACTTATTAAGGTTAATGTGCCAAAAAGATGATTCGTCACTCCTAGAGGCACGACTGACGTTCATCGACCATAACAATCCATCAGAGGAGTTTCTGAGGCTGTAAAAGGATACAAAAATAGCTTTAAATGATGAATATCCATAAAAACATAACAGTATCATTGTTGTGCCTGCTGGGGTTTTCTATGAAGCCCTTTAAATTTCATAAAGATGTAAACAACTGCTGCTTTAGAAATGTTTTTAAATAGACTGGGAGCAAGCACACACACGCACACACACACACACACACACACACACACACACACACACACACACACACACACACACACACACACACACACACACACACACACACACACACACACACACACACACATCAAAACCATACATATCGTGGGCCAGTTATGCCGACAGCAAACCTTATAATCAGGTTTCTGATACGTAAAAATAATCTTTTATATCTACTGCAAAAATACTTTGATGAGGTTTAAATAATCCAGTTAGTTGTCAACACATCAACATGAAATCACTTTGATCAGCGATGGACATTTACTGCTATTTAGAAGTGCATTTCTGCAATTATTGCATTCTAGGTAGCTTCCTGAATGCTCTCAGTTTGAATAAATGAACTTTTATTCGTTAGGATTGATGAGCTAACAGCTAGTTAAGAAACTGTATCACTCAGTGCGGTGATATGCGCACTGACCAACATCAAAGTCGATCCAGGTCAATTTTGTTGAAAAAGCTGGGACCCTAACTCTAACCCTCTTTATCCTAGTTTACATACGCTTTAGAAAACCGGCCTTTCAAATAAAGTTTGTTCCACTCTGGAACAGTAGTGGCGACACGCCCCTTTTCATCTTGGCTTTCTTTCGGTTAGCTCATTGCAACACAAGCAGTAAACAGAAGCTGGCAGGAGTGAAGCAGATGGAACTGAAACAGGATGTGCACAATGGCTGAAGGACTGTACAACAACGCTGCAGCACAGCTTATTTGGTACCTACTGTCCTGTTGTATGGTGTTACACGTGTTGCTTTGTGATGATGGTCTTTTCAGAAGACCGCTTCCATGGTGTCATCACTTCTGGAATGTGAGCGTCTAACCTGTATTAGCTTGACTGATGCATTTACATGCAGAGTTTATTCGGATTGCTACCGCATTATCTGGGTCTTCAGGTCGATTAGAAAGCGTTTGCTGTCAGCCCCGATTAACGTGTTTTCATGCAAACCGATGTGAGTCTCTTTCGGGCAATAATTCGGTTTTCTGGTGGACTTGTAAACGGCTCCTTAAAAAATGACCATTTCTAAAGTTTCCAGGTGAAACCAATTAGAATATGGTGCAAAAGTCCATCATGTCATTAATTCAACTCGGACTGAGAGACCATCTAAAAGCTCAGCAACACTTTGCAGGTGTTCTGCATTCATTACTGATTAGAGACACTTTGAGTCAAGAATACTGAACCTTTTCACAATATTATAATAGTCTGAGATTTTGAATGTGGGGGGTTTTCATCAGCTGTAAGCTATAATCATCACAATTATATCAAATAAAGGCTTGAAATATCTGGATTTGCATGTAATAAGTCTATCGCACACATTAGTTTCACCTTTTAAGTTGAGTTACTGACATAAATGAACATTTGCACAATATTCTCATTTTTCTAGTTTCACGTATTCATGCAACATTATTTTATTAATGTTTTCATCATCATCAGTTTGACATCACAAAACTATGGTTAATTAAAATCATTTATATCCCCACCAGGGATTTCTTAATGACAACAATTCAAGAAATTTGAGTAGCTCTGACATTTAACTCGTTCACTGCCATTGACGACTAAAGTCGTCATTTGCATTTTTTTTACTGTTTGAAAATCGGAACGAGCCCCCGCGCTGAGAGAACAAACATCTCAGCCCTGAAGCCGATCTTCATCCGCATATGTCACACGTCACGTGATCAGGAAGCAGAACATCCATGTGTTAGGAGATCGTTTTGGGGCGTTCCTGTAAAAAAAGTGAGGCGCGAACCGGAAAAAGCGTCTGCCGATCACAATTCAACAACGGATTATGAAAGAACGGATAATGCTGAAAACACGCGGATTCTTCCTGATGTAAGAGGCGAGTCTCCGCTTTGTTTTTGTCTCGACATCATGCTAGCGCGCAACATTCTGTGACTCTTAAAAAAACAGTAAAAACGGTGAGAAACGCTGGCAGCGAAGGCCGTTAGCGATCAGGAAACGGCTGGCAGTGAAAGAGTTGAGATCCGTGAAGTTTTGTGGCAGCAGCAAAACATTTTGGACTTGAATTTCACACAGACTGGCTGTTAGCTTATCAGTCCTGAAGGACAGTAAAAGCAAGTATTAATCATTTTTACACCAAAACACTCTTAAAAATGGTTACAATGTTCCTTTGGTTCTACATTTTTATAGCATCTTTTTGTTACACAGATATGAACTAATTGCTTCATTTATGTTACTGGGGAAGTGCTCATTAAACTTACAACTATCTGAGCGTAAATAGCCGTAAGTATGTCGATTATAGCAGGAAAATGTAGTTACATCCTCAGTCCCTAGGCTGACTGAGAGTCACCTTCAGATAAGACGAGGTTGTCGCTAAAGCGCGAGAAGACCAGAGTGTTAGTAACGGAGCTGACTACTAAAGGATATAAAAGAGAAACTAAGCATAAACACACAAAATTAAAAGAAATTACAAGTTTTATTCTCTTAAAGATTCATTAACAGATTATTTGTACTCCTAATTTTCCCACCATTTTCTTATATGAAATTGAACAAATCATACAAGGAAAAGCAAATCTGAGCGCAGCTACTCCAAATATTAGCTCCGTTGAACTTTTGCAAGTCTTGTTTCTTGTGTGGAAATAAAACCTTTGCAGAGTTTATCTTTTCATTCTGCCCTAAACAAGTTGCACTCAGGACTGAATCTGAGACCAGGTTGCTGTTTATCTGATCCAGAAACTCTCCCCCGACAGTCTGACCGTGTAACTCACTCTGACTTAATGTTATGGAGCCAGAACATGAAGCCAGAAATATCCGGTGTCCTTTATGCGGCATGCAAATACTGTGAGCAGGCTATTTGTGGAGCCTGGTAAATTTGTCGTGTTGAAACGACGGTGAGGCTAAAGCACCCTGAAGTAACCAGACTGAGGTTCAGCTTTGAGCGCGGAGAGGAAAGGCAAAGAGCTTGTGTGTACGAGGCAGCTTGGAAGGAAGGTCTGAAAGCTTTGTGACAGCGACTTGGCAGGAGGACATGTTTGTGTGTGCGGCGCCTTTAAATACACATCAGCCTCCCATAAAACACGCTGCTTGTCAGGTGAGATGACAGCACTGATCACCTCAGCAAAGCCCACAATTACAATGAAACGTGTATCTCTGCGTGTCTCAGCTGAGACGAACAGCCCTAGCAGAGGAAAGCAGGTGGGCTGATTGTCCTAATGTGTTTTCGTTCTTCTCACAGAGCCACTTCAAAAATTACAAACAAGGATTTGTACTTTTGCCCAAGGCATGTAGTTCTTGTGTGTGTGCATCGTCTCGCACCTTGCTATGCTCCTAGATCCCTGGTAGTGACTCTAACTGCGTGTACCACTATTTCCCCCCCAGATCATTTTTTTTCTGATGCTTCTGTCTCAGTTCTCCAGCAGCAGGTTCACTGAATGGGACTGAATTACATGCACACATAAAAGTGTCTCACAATCCAGTGGTTCCTCTGACATTACACAGAGAATTAAACGGAGGCTGGGTCTGAACTCTTCCAGTTTGTGAATGCATTTCTGTCTTTGTGTGTGGGTTGTTTTCTTTGTTTGAAGATCTAAAATGGTTTCATGGGTCTGGTCTTGAGCTGCTGTTGGAGAAACAGGGTGTGTGTTTAATTTATGAGTGCAGAGAGATTTCAGTCCTTCACCCTTTATGAACCTCAGACTTCTGTTTGCTCTAAAGCAGCAGAAGCTGGTTGCTGTGTTTATGATTGCTGCAGAAATTGAGTGGCAGCTCTGCTCTGAAGCTTCCCAAACATTTATGACTCATTGTGTGTGTGTGTGTGTGTGTCCCCCTTTCTGTTCTCTGCTGCTATCTCTTGTTCTATCTCCTCTCCTGTTGATCTCTCAGAGATGGCGTTCCGGTCTGTCCTCCTGCTGCTGCTGGCTCTTGGTCTTCATACCAGCGGTCAAATTTTGGCTGAATCCGAGCCTCTCCCAACAGGCTGTGGCTGGGGCCTTGGGCGTCCATACACCCTCCTCTGTGACCTGGACTCCATTTGGGGTGTAGCTGTTGAATCCGTGGCTGCTGGAGGGACCCTGACTGCCATCTTGCTTGCTCTAGTCCTGCTGTGCCGTTTACGCCACATCAGTGAAGGCGAGAAGCGCAGTGGTGTGGGACCCATTCTCCTGCTGCTCCTGGGCATCCTGGGCTTGTTTGGCCTCAGCTTCGCTTACCTGATCGAGCAGGATGAGTCTCTCTGTCTGATCCGCAGGGCCTTGTGGGGTCTTCTTTTTGCTGTCTGCTTCTCCTGCTTGCTGGTTCAGGGCGTTCGGCTGCGCAGGCTGGGCCGGGAGCGTCGGAGTCCGGGTGGATGTGCTCTAACTAGCCTGGCATTGGGATTGAGTGCTGTGCAAGGGATCATTGCTGCTGAGTGGCTACTCCTGACCGTGCTGCGGGAGGGGAGAGCTGCCTGTCAGTACCTGCCTTTGGACTTCTCGTTAGCCTGCAGCTACGTGCTAGCCCTGCTGCTGGCGGCTCTTACAGCCGCTTCCTTGGCCCTGTGTGGGAAGACACGTCAGTGGCGCTGCAATGCTATCTGGCTGCTCTTGACCTGCCTGCTGTCCCTGCTGTTATGGGTGGCCTGGGTGGGCCTCTATCTGTATGGCAACGCCTGGCTTGACAGGTCCCCCGAGTGGAATGACCCGACTCTTGCAGTAGCTTTGGTAGCTCAGGGCTGGCTGCTGCTGATCTTCCATGCCATTCCTGAATCCCATATCTGTATGAGACCTCCTCCGCAACCCACCGCTCCAGACTACTTTGATACATCCCAGAACTCAACACGGATGAGGGAGACGAGCTTTGACGAAGATATCCCTCTTTCTCACCGGCAGTTTGTGGAGAACCAGGGCTACGGATACAACGATGAGAACACTGCAGGTACAGGACAGGCAAAAAATGTGTGAACAGCTTGTAGGAGAATGTAGGCCAACGTGAGTAATAGAACATTGGGAAATGCTATATCTAGGAAGCTAGAAATAGGTTCAGAAGATTTTGTGTTTGTGGGAAGTGCTTCTTTCTACACTCAAGAGAAAACGAGAAGCTGTGAGTTAAAGTGAAAATCTTGTTACATTCCAGGCTTGAGGAGCGGTGGAGGTGCAGGTCAGCACAACAGTAACACCGGTGCCAGGCCCAGTGCTCCCTTCCGTAGCAACGTCTACCAGCCCACAGAGATGACCATGATCCTGAATGGGGGAGCGGTGAGTACATCCTCCCAGTCGCAGGTACACGTCGCTCACACGTCTCTCAGCCATCCGATCATACCGACAAGACTGCATGCACATTCGTGCCTTCTGGACCACGAGTCATTGCACAAGAATGAGGGAGCGGTGTGTGTTTGCATGCCCATGTGTCTGTTGGACTTCTGTGGGCACATGCATGGATGGGTTTGTCGCATGAGGTCAGTCATCTCACGGTGGTTTGTTTGAGAGTCTGAGGGGAGCCTCGATGTGTTTAAATAACAGGTGAATGTTATCTGTCAGCTGAGTAATGCAGCCGTCTGACACACTGTCACACTCTTCATTTTACAGGGTGAGTGTGTACATTCTGGCTGGCACAGGTGAATGCCTTTCCAGCTGTAAACTTAAGCCTGCCGCACAACCCACATCCTCCAGCTACAGTTTACAGTTATGGAACTAGATTTAGCCCAAAAAGACGTCTTAGGCAGTTTTGCATTAAACATCATTCCTTTGCACAAGGCTGATCTGAGTGAGCGACATGCTGGTGATACTCAGAAAGCAACAGTTCACAGAAAAAGGAACATATTCAGCACAGGAACTGGCTTTGAGCATTAAACTAAAGATCAAGCGGTGGCTCAGAAGATACAGTGGGTTCAGAATCAGAACCAGAAGAGTTTTATTGCCAGATGCGCGAGAAATCCCAACATTAGGAAATTGCTGCTTGGTGCAAAAAGAAAGATAAAAATAAGAGATAGGCAAATAAAGTGGCAATATTTAGAGAAATGGCTACTACATACAAGACAGTGTATGCACTGATCAGAGCAGAACAGTTCAGGTGCAAACAACACAAGGTCATGTGACTGAAACCAAGCGGCTGGAGTGGACGGTCCTAGGATTGTCATTCATGAGTCCAACTGCAGAGGGGTTGTCCATCAGTTACAGGGTTGGTGGTTCTAAAGCCTAGCTGATGCTTCAGTGCCGAGACACTCAACGCCATCATCTGCCTTGCGAGGGAAGTTAAACCAGAAAGCAGTGTAAAACTTCTGGACACTTTCAAAGTAAAAGTCACGTGCAGATTTCCACTTGCTTAACTAGAATAAACAGAAAGTCCTCACCTGTGACTGGGCGTGACCAGCTGCGTGGAACGCTTTAGCCGGCGTTTTACGTCTGAAAAACTCCCGATGAGAAGGGATGCTGATGCAGGTAAAACACGTTACGTTACGTGCTGCCTATGCATCCATTGGAATGCTGGAGTTTATGCCTACAATCATATCTTATGAAGTTAAACAATATACATGCACAATATTAGTGGAACATGGAATCACAATATTTATTGAAGTCTCTAATGCGTATTTTGTGATAAATCTAGGTGTTCTGTTGATGCTCACATTACTTTGTGCTGCTGAAGACATTTAAGGGAGTGAGGCTCCAGCTGACATGAGAACACGTTTTTGAAATGTTGATGTTGCAATATAGATGCGTTTTTATTACAGTGTGTAGCTTGAAATAAAAACTTTTTTCACATGCAAAAAATATAGACAGTAAAAGTGGAGCTTGCGTGTGTTTGTTAGTCTGCAGGACTCGTACAATCAGGCAAAGTGAAAAATAGCTTATCGAGGCTAATTCCACCAGCATGTTAAAGGAATCAATACAAGCAAGTGCATTTTATGAAGCTGTGCAGGCTGTTATCATTTACAGACCTATTTTTTCCATCTGCAGGTGCCCTCCGCCCCTCCCACCTACACGGGAAGGCAGCTGTGGTGAAAGGAGGATATAGCGACAGAATATTAGGAGAATAGGTTGGAGGGATTGAGGAGAGTGAGGGGTTCCAGGACTTGGGGTCCACCCGGTTGGATGGAACTTTCTGCAGCATGGACGCCTGCAGGGCTCTTTCACTCTGTGTACAGACTCTAACGCTGAATCTGTGCCAATCAAGTATTGAATGAATGTGATTGTGAGAGCGAGGCATGGAGGACAGAGCTAAAACCTTTCCTGCTTACAATGAACTCTTGAAACATGTCCAGTCATGAGGAAAAAAAGAACGACACAACGCGCACTGACTCAGATCTGAAATTATCTTTGGTTTGCTCCGCTGATTCTCCAGCATCCCTGAAAACTGTGAAATCTTTTGCTTCGTGCTGATCGGGCAGGATGTGATGTGTGCTGCTCCTTTACAGTGCTGGTGCTCACATGGAAACATTTGGCTCTGTCCTCCATCCATCCACATTAAACACACGTAAACAGAGCACACGGACAACTGTACAGCTCCAGCACCGCCCCCTTAAAAATAATTCAGCCTCTGTCGGTGTCTATGTACAGTAAAATGAATGGAGAAAGTGTGTGTGTGTGTGTGTGTGTGTGTGCGTGCGAGCGTGTGTGTTTGTCACAGCTCCCCAACAAGCCCCGGCCTTTTCCTCCTCTTCTCTCTCTGTTCCTGATCTGCACTGTCTGTTGTTATAAAACATAGCTCTCCTCCCACCTGCATGGACCCATTGCAAACACAAAAACTGTGAAGCCCTACCTGGCAACCACTGAACATAGACTCCACCTGTACAGAGGGATCACATGCTGCCACTGAACTGCTAGATGTACGAAGGAGCAGGGTGGGACGTGATTGGATGAGGAGGCGGTCAGTCATCTGCAAAAGGGGAGGTGGGGTGGGTGCAGCAATGTAGGTCAGACCGCTGCTCTCCCACATCTCCAGTGGCCACTGGCGGATCGGAACAACCAGGAGAGACTGTCACTTTGGATCAGCAGGAAACAGAGCAAGGAAGTTCAAAAGAGAGGAAAAAAAGTGTCTCGCTTTTCTGTCTGTGTGCATACGTGGATTGTGATTTTCTGAGCAACAAAATTCAAGTTCTGATGCTGAATTCCCACAAGTGGTGTGGAACAACAGAAAAAAAACGTGAGTGACAGAATATAAATAAACAGCTGTGGCTGGAGATATTTTGGAGCCGCTGAAAGATGAGATTTACACTGTGGAGAAGAAAGAGGAGGGTCAAATATAAGGGAAGGAGAAGGAAGGTCAGAGGGGGGGAAATCTCCTTCAATCAGCCTCCACTGTGTGAGAAAACCGCTCTCGAGTCCCTTTGTGCACAAAGGAGCTGCTCCTTTATACCCTCTAAACTCCTCTCCTCCTCCTCCTCCTCCTCCTGCTTCTCTGTGGTCAGTGCCAATAAAGACTCCTCGTTTCTTTGGAGTTTTGATTTACACTTTTCTCTCATCGTGGCACCAGCTATCACCAGAGGAACTGTGTACATATCAGTGCTATAAAGCTCTGCTTACCTGTTTTCCTTTTATATTTTTAAATTGTAGGCCGAGTTTAGACACAGCAAACTTATTTTTACTTCCTTTTTAATAATTGGTTGCTTTATGTTCAAACTTTGCCTTTTGATCCATATATGCTTTTATTTTTTTCTTGCTTGCGTCTTTTATTTTTAGCTTTTTCTGATTTATTTTATTTTGCCAGGACTAAATTTGCTTTTTAGTATTTTAGTTTGATAAGGTTCATGGATTTTACGGGAGCTGTCATTTACAAGACTTTATGTTGGTTTTACTTTCTGGTTTAACTGAGGCAGAGGAGGAACAAACGTATTTTGAGGTTGTTTTTTTTTTGTTGTTTAGATAAAATACACTAGCTGTGAATAACTTTGGCACTTCATGCAGTAAACAAACTAGCTGCTGATACCCTATGGGGGTGAAATTTAAAATCAGGGTAGGGTGGGTAGGTTATATTAAATTTAGACCCACTAACCACCAGTTAAATGATCCTTGAAATTCGTCTGACCTGGGGTCGGCCCTTAACTGCTGCTGTGTTTGTCTGACACTGGGACTAACTCTGAAACAGGACTGCTACTTGCAGGCCAGCCTCAGACCCAAACACAGCTCCCTCTTCCAACTGTGCTTGGGCCACACCTGGTCCCAAACAGATCCACGCAAGAACTGCCCTCAGGGTTTTCAATACTCGACTGTAAGTTTCAATCCTCAGAGTTAAGGACGGATGTTTGAATTCTTGTGACGTTTTCACTTAATGTGGACAAAACAGAAAAAAAGATGAACAACATGGTGTGACTTCGTACATTTTGCACTCGTCAACTACCTATCCGTGCATGCTTCTCACATTTTCTACATATAAGATCTTTCTCAGACGTACTTTTGGATACTAACCATTTATGTAAGGGTCATGTGACAGAAATCATAACTTCAGTGTATATCAAATGACACCCGTTGATGTCTGTGCTTACAAAAACACAAAAGGGTTGCTTGTTGTGACATCAAGAGAATAAAACCAGGGGTCGGTCCAGAAGAGTGTGATCTTCAGGACCTAATAACAAATTTCCTCTGTGTGGGTTTGAAGACTTGAGGGTTTTTAAAAAAGCAAATCTTCCGACTGATATTGTCTCTGTGTTAAAACCAAGTAGACTGTGGTGAAATTTGCACAAAACTTCTATGTTGAGTTTGATGTCCCAGGGGTGACCCATCCTTCCTGGGCTCGACGTGTCCTTGCCTGTCCGCTCCTGATTTGTCTTGCCGTCAGACTGTTCCGGGGGGGGGGGGGGGGGGGGGAGCTAGCAGGGGTAATATTGGTTTTCACAGTTATGACAGTGCAGTGATGCAGCATGCAGATGTATAGAAACTTAATTCCTTGATTAGAAAAAGAAGAAAAAAACCAACTAACTGTTGTTTCTGTAACCAATTCAGGAAAAAAGTTCAATAAAGGTGTCATGTTTGTAGTTAACTGTCCCTGTTTTATTACACTGAAAGTGGAACTCAGATGAGAAATACTGTATTTTTTATTCTACACAAGACACAACACTAAAGTTTTTTTAAATGACTATTTTGTATGCGCAGGTGCATACAGCTTTTCCACTGTCTCAAGCATTAAACTTATACTGGCAGATTAAAATTATTATAGGTGTGGAACCCTCATTAGAAATGAATGCCTTGCAAGTCGTACTCTGGGGAGCAAAAAGCTCAGATGCACTTGTTTCAGGAACTAGCAGAATGCCTCGTCAGGGGAGAGCTTAACACAGCAGGATCTGGACTCTTATTTCCTGATATTTGGACATCTCTCCTTGGATTGGATAAGAGCAAAGGGACTACCACTGACTCTGTTAGTCCTGTGACACAAATTCTTTATGTTCTACAAATAACTCAAGCCTGGAGGTGTTCTGCTGTGTTGTGAAGTTGCCAATGCTAACGGCTAGCTTCTATTAGCCGAGATGTTCTCTGCTGTTTCCTGGATGCTAAACCAACAACAGCCTTCCCCGTCATGAGTCAAGATTGGCGAGTCCATGACTGTTTAGTGACAGTGTGACGTAGATCTGTCTATTTTCTATCAGAAGCTAATGCAGGAGATAGGTGTAGGAGACTATTTTCATGTTCAGCCAGCATGAAAAACTCTGAGTGACAAATTATAATCAGAAATAAACATTCAAAATTTTTTCCAGTGTTCCACACCTTTAAATTATTTAAGGTAGAATTCCAATACCACACTAAGACACCAGCCTATAAGCTACAAAAACATAAAAATAATTACACGAATGTGTATACAGCAGAAATCGATGGGACTACAGCTCCTGATATCCATCTCAGATAGTTTTTTTATTAGATTTGTAACTTAAAAGCCGACACCATGGGGCAAACGCCATCTGATTTCAATCAACAGGTGATTAACAGGCTTCTGGAGAATTTGACGAGCTGCTGCACAGGTGAATCAACTGTGTTGGAACAGGGAAACAACAAAAAGGACATTTTTGGGAAATTTGGGAAGACGGGAGCGATTGGAGGGCGACCCGCACCCATGGAGAGCACCGTCCGTATGGAGACCTTACAGACTGGGACGCTACTCAAGGTGAATCGCAAGCTGGACAATGTTCTAGCTGCTATACCGGTATTAGTGCGCAAAATGGATGTCATCTCGGAGAGGGTCACCGGACGGTGTGGAGATGTTTAAAACCTAAATTGGCTTCAATGGAGGACTTGAATGATCAGTTACAGACTGAAGACAGAGAGGAAAATTATCTCAGCCTGACCCAAACAAAGTCTTGTTATCCAAATCTGACGCCATGGCAGCCCTGAGATGCCAACAACAAACCCCCACGAAGGAATGCAGACAGATGCTGTGAAAACCCGACCTACCCCCCCTCGCCCCGCCTTCGGATTGGTGGACTTCAGCCTGGCGAGGTCATCAACCTGCAGGAGTCAATGTGCTCTGCGCTCCTCCCAAGATGTCCCTTCCACCTGTGGCTACAGTGGCCGAGCGCCATAGGGCTGCTCTCGCTGGAGAAACTGGATCCCAGCCCCCCCTCCTATTATGTGATGTTGTGTTGTGTTATCTGCTTCTTATCTGTTTGAGGTGTTTTTTTTGCAGAGCAAAGCTGCCCTCCTGGTGGGAGAGTAGCAATGAAGTGCCTTTTTTCCCCCCTCCTCCCGAATCAATTCCTCATGTTACCCTTTTATCTCTCTATTAAGGTAGTGCGACTCGGGGTTGCGAATGACCACAGTCACCAATTCTTGTCATGTGTCTTGCCCAGTATGTCTGATCTCTGAATTGTGTGTACTGAAACTCTAATTTCCCTCTGGGATTAATAAAGTTTGATTGATTGAAGATGCAGGATACCTGCCCTCTAGGATGAGTTTGACACCCTTGGGAACCGAATTCAGGAAGGAGGAAGTTCCCATTGACTCCCATGTTAAAAATGCTAACTTCACAGCAGAAATAAACATGTTTACAGCCAGGGACAAAACACATTTTAGGTTTGATAGGTCTAGTTTACAGTAATGACAACTCTGAGGGGTGGTGAATCTTTTTGTAACTCATGTCCATTTGATTGACAGGTAGCAGATGACTCGAGCTATCAGTACTAGCACTAGCAGCTTACCTCCTGCTTTCGCCAGGGAAGGCCTCAGTCTAGGCCTCACATTAAAAGTGTAACTGCATGTTGGTAGTAGAGTTGCTCAACCATGGCTTTCTGGCTAAAAGCCAACCTCCATTAGCTTTGCTTAGCTAAGACAGCTTGTAGCTTCATTGGCTCAGAGTCTGATGGGTGTCAATCTTCTGCCCTCACCCTCAGTAACAGGGTCTTGCAGCTCCGTTTTTCTATTTTCCAGGAATGACGAGACACGTAATGTGGCCAATATAGCGGTGGTGGGAACCTACAGGTGGCAGCATGGAGGGTTCATCCATATCATTGAATGGTTCACACCGAGTGCAGGTTTCCGTATAACATCCGTAGAAGGAAACGTGTCTTCTACCATGGCATCGCCCAGAGACCTAGACCCGCTCCCATGTATTCTAGATCTGCTTTTCATGGTCATATGTTACGAAGCCACCAATATTTTTCAACAACTGGGCATCATTTAATTCATTTTCAACAACATTTGGATGAATACTTCCAGAGATTAACGGTAAAAACTACACATTGTATCTTAAAAAACCTCTAAATGCTTGAGTTTTAATGCCTAACTCAAGGATCTCTGTGTGTAGACAGAACTGTAACCTACACCTCCACATCTGGGGCTGAAGTCCGACCCGGTTCTTCTCAGGCTACGACCACCCGGTTCCACCTTCTCTCAGGGGCTGTGTGATCTAGGTGCAGTGTTTCAGTGTTGCCAGACTCTGTGGAGCTGGCTCCAGCATCCGATGTCGTCCAACATAAAACCTGTTTTATCATCTTACCCAATGCCAGCTGTCTAGCAGGTACCCACATACCTGAGATACATTTTGACCCTACTAACGTCTCATCCAGAGGAGGAGACAGCCAAGAAATCCTTCCATTACCAAAACCAGAGAGCACTATCTCAGGTAGACTTGTGGCGAGGTGGAAATATGCCAGAAATGCACTTTACTTTCAGAGTTTCTGAAGTCAGAACAGCACCGTTATAACTTGGACAGTTTTAGTTTGGTGTGACAGAGATCAAAGATGTGCAAAGTCAGATGAGCAGCATGGGGCTTTTTCTCTTTTGCAAATCAGATTTTATGAGCTTTCCACAGTTGATCCGTGACGAGTGAGATGATGCTTGATCATCAGCACGAAGCAGATAGCTGAAAGTATTAGAACTTGACTAGCAAGCCATCCTTCTGGCACATGGAACCATACAGAGATAAAAGAAAACATTAACAATATATATTGTCTAAATTCATGCCTATGTACTGTAATTTTAGGAAATATAAGCTGAATATTCAGCTATGCTGCTCTATGCAGACAGCCTGCTGTGATCTCAGTGAGAATTGAAACAGCTTCTATGCTCCGATTCGCTGGCAAAGTAATTTCCTTTCCTCATGAACAGATCTGAAAACGAAGTCACCAATCGTTCTGGTTTAAAATGAAACGATGAGTCCGTTTGTTAGACAGGGACATATAAACAAAAGGACCAAGGAAATATGGCTGTTTTAGAGAGATGTAAGCTGGAAGAGCCAAGAGAAAATATTGGGTCTGTTGCAGGAGGTTTCCACTCTTGACAGCATTATGGGAGCGGAGCTATATGGTGTTCATTTGTTGGGGAAGAATCATGAAGGGGAGCGATCAATCAAACCGGCGATAGGAGCAATAAAATGATTAGACATTAATCTCTGGACGTAAATTCTTGCTCCTTCCATCTTCTGCTGGTTAGAGCTTTACAGTGACTGATCACTGGTCAGTTTGTTCTCAGAAGAACAATAATTATAATAATTAAAAGCCTTTAAACACAGAGTCAAGCACTTCATTTAACTACTACCAGATTAGTTTAAGGTTTCCAGTGAGGTGGAGTCAAAGATGTTCCAACAGCTTCATGGACAGCCAGGAAATAACTCAATCGTGTGATTGACCTTTCCTTCCCTTTGAACGGGGGTGGGGTGGGGGTCCCACTCACCAACTTCAGGGGTCATCAAGGGGGGGGGGGGCTTTCTGGAACATTCACCATCAAAGAAAGAGAGAAAGAGTAGGATTTATTTGGTATGTTGATCTGCTTTTAAGGAAAATCTAAAAATACATAAAAATGTGGCCAAATGTATGTACATAAAGTTTGCTGGTGCTTAAAGATCAAGTCACCCCCTACAAGAAACTTACTCCACTCCCACTTCATGTTTGAAAAATGCAACAAATGTGGTTGCCTGGCAGACCGAGAGGGCGTAGCCGCTAATAAATACACACAAACAGGCTCACAACAGCATTGTGACATCATAATGTACCAGCTAATGTCATAGTGTACCTCTTAGCCAATAGCAATGGCAGACTGAAATTCAATTGTAGTGCAGAGTTTTTACCTGACGACGGCGCAACACTGATAGTTTTAGGAAGAATATTTAAATTCTAACTAAGATGCACTAAAGTGCAAAATTATTATTTACACATATTTACAGCATGATTAGACACTAATTTATATAGTTTACCAGCAAAAAAAAGTAGATTTGGGGGTGACTTGCTCTTTAAGTGTTTGTGCTGCTGTAACAAGTGAATTTCCTCACTCTGGGATCGATAAACTCTATTCTATTCTGAATAGCTGATAGAAACTCTAAACGAATATCAAAGTAATTTCTATGTTCAGGAATGTGGTTCTTATAAAAAATAAGGTCATATGAAAACTATTTTGTTTCACCTGTCAGATTTTACATTTGTACGCCCTCAAGTTACATTGGAAAAACATAGTTTTTCATAAAGATACTGGCCAGACTCTGCATGAAAATGGTAGAAATTCAGTACACTTTAGCATCTATATAGAAAAGAATTGGGTTCAGTTTTTCACTTTGTTAAG